TCAATTTGGACTCTTTGAGAACTGGCTTGTTTGTTGCGAGAGCTATTGGCATCAAATGTATGCAAATTAGATTTCCAAACGAGCAACGGGTGGGCTTTCCAAAACGGAACCAATCGAAATTTCAGCGAAAGTATAAGGAATTTCGTCATGAAACTTGGTGAGGATGTTGGGGGAGGCCTCCTCAACATGACTTGTTCACTCTCATAATATAATTGCTAATAGTATTTTAGCAATTTGTTGTTAAATAATGTCTACTATCACCCCCTAATTTTTTTAAAATATGCCACTTATCACTTATATTTTGTGTTACATATTATATTTTCAATGCTCACATGCGTATTTTATGCTTTTATTACATATAATTCACCAATTAATTAAGTAAAACGCGTTTATAAATTTGTGTTCACGTTTTACCACTTTTCACAAACAAACAGAAATAACAATGGCCGACAGTAAGAGCAAATATGTGCTGCCATACGTTTTAAAAGTAAATACGCCACTATTAAAGGATTTTATTAAAACGCGGCCAACACAAAAAAGGAGTTGTGCGTAAAATCGTCATATTTTTATGGCAACCGTATTCCAACGGTATTTCTTTTATTCTCTTCTTATTTTTTCGCATGCAGAAGCTTTTTTTTTAATATACTTTCATAAATTATGAATTTTTTTTATATAAAATCGCGTGATTTTATATAAAACACCCAGTAACCATATATTAATATAGTTCCATATATATCGAAAATTTTTAATAAAAAATCGCGCGATTTTTTATTAAAAATTTTCGCCTGCGGCGCTTTCTAAAAATCGATACTTCCATAAATAATGAAAATTTTTAATTAAAAATCGCGCGATTTTTTATTAAAAATTTTCGCCTGCGGCGCTTTATATTCTAAAAATCGATACTTCCATAAATAATGAAAATTTTTAATTAAAAATCGCGCGATTTTTTATTAAAAATTTTCGCCTGCGGCGCTTTATATTCTAAAAATCGATACTTCCATAAATAATGAAAATTTTTAATTAAAA